TCTAATCTGCAGTACAAGGTTACCTTTGTCCCCCCATTACTAGAGCACTCCTTAACCTCCAACAGGTATAAGCCCACATTAATTTCACTCTTTAGGCACTTAGCCTAGTGACAAATTTTATGTATCAAAATTTATCACCTCTAACCAAAATTCTTATCATATGCCCCCAGTTCTACGCCAAATATGCATCTTTACAACTTATATGGGGTCCATTTAACCAATGAGAAAGGGAATAATCAAGAGAGCCTCTAAGCGATTATGTACACAATTTCCTCGTCGCTGTCTTACTAGCCCTATTTCAAAGGCGGACAAAAACATCCAATATTTGAAGCCATTTCATCCAAAATATATCTCGGTATTTGATAAGGAAAATCCACAAATGCCCCTAAAATTAAATGTTTTTTATCCGTTCGGAGACGAGTTTGTCATCCCTTCTCCCCTCATTTATTTAATTGTTTTCAAGCATAGTAAATGGCGCACATTCATATTCCATGAGAATAATATATAAATAAGATGAATAGACTAGCCATAGGCCCCTTTAGATTAGATATAGGCATAACGTGCAGTGTCAAATAAAAAAAAAAGGTTTGTGGAGTGAATAAATAAGTCTCTTGCTCTTAGATCAACATAAGAGACACTCAAACCCAATACACTACTTAGTAAGAAACAACTTCAACAAAAAAAAGGGGAATTCTTTGTGTTCATTCAATTCTTCGTATAAAATAGCAGCAGGGAGTGCAGAAAAATCCATTTATACCTGATGGAACAAGCAGAGCTAGAGCCATGCCTTTCGGGCACATCGAGCACGATCTCAGCATCACAGGAAGCTCCGCCACAAGAACGCCTGTATAGGTCACTGCATCAGCAACATAAAGCAAGCAAAGAAGCACAACTAGAAGATCAGGATGCAGAGCAAGAAACAGTATCTCAGACACATATACCATTAGATTTAATGCTTTCTAATGAAGATTCGTGTAATGAATTCAACGCCGAACTCAATCTCATCGACTGCTTAAACGTAGGATCATCTCAGAGTTCATCAGAATCTCCTCCCCAAGGATCAGAAAACTGCGAGCCTAGAGTTTTCTCGTGCAACTACTGTCAGAGAAAATTCTACAGCTCGCAGGCGTTAGGTGGACACCAAAATGCTCATAAGCGAGAGCGTACAATTGCGAAAAGAAACCAGAGAATAGGAGCAACAATCGCTGCGACTGCAGCAGCGTTTGGGCATCCTTACTTGCACCAGCAGCACAATTACTCAAACATTGCTTCATTACCATTACATGGTTCTCCCAATAGATCTCTTGGAATTCAGGTACACTCAATGATCCATAAAACTCCTACTAATAATATGACAATGTCTTCTTCTGGAAATGTGTACGGACATCATGGATGGTTAAGGTTACCTATCGAACAGCAACCCGCCGTTGGGAAGCTAGTGTCAGAGACCTACCACGGTAGCGCCACCACAGGACCGTCATCGAGAGGTGGAGCTGGTAGGTTCAATATAGTAGATGAGGGTGTCACCAGTGGCGGCTGGTGGAGTGGAGATAGTCAGATTAAAAGTAATTCAGAAGAATCTACAAAGCTTGATCTATCCCTCAAGCTTTGAGAACTATTTTTTTTTCTTTTTTCTTACAGGAATATTTTCTTTTCTTATCTAGAATTAGGGGTTTGCTACAATATGCTTGGAAAATTATTAGCTTAATTATTCTCTTTACTTCCTGGGATGATATGATGTAAATTTTCTAATGACAAAAGGTAAAAATGATTTTTCTTCCTTGAAAGTTTTTTAGCTTAATTTGGGTGTAGGAAGAGTCATAAAGCAATTATGTAGACATAATTTGATTCCGTATACACAACTTGCAACAAGATTTAGAGCTTAATTTCATGTTCATAATCTTGTAAACCAAAGACTGCCAGAATCTGCAAAGTTAATCTTTAATGTTGAAACAGCTCAATATTTCATAAACAATCTAGTTCATCCTGCTTTAAACTATAAGACAGTAACTGACATACAAGGATGATAATGTACCAAAAACTGTGAGCAAAGTGTCCCAATCAACAGTAGAACTCTTAAGGAAAAAAGCATTTAAAATGGCATAGGAAGCATTATATTCAACGTCTATATGTTTAATTAATAATGCTATTTTTCATAGAAGACAAAAGAGTAGAAACACCAAACCCAACATAAAATGAATTTGGCATTTTGCAAGTGATATCTAGTGAAAAATCTTCTACCAACTTTTCTAGTGTCTACTGTCTAGAGGTAGGCATCTGATAGAATTATATAGACTTCTAGATATTGCATCATGCCATCAACCATCAATCTATTTCCCCTAGAGGGGATGGTAGCGTAGGCCAATGGCCGGGTTAGCCTGTCTCCAGTCACGGCCTGCCCAGCACCAGCTCGAACTGCACCTCCCCTCCCCCCCCCCCCCAAGCAAACTAGCAGGTGGGATGGGAGCAGGATATCCACCACAAGCCTGGTTCAAACTAACTATTGACAATGCAGAAGGCCGCCAGGACTGCCTCACCTCTCAACCCGGCTAGTACAGTTGCTTACTTCATATTGTGGTCATGATTTCCCTTACTGGCCTACTAACTACCTCTAGGTAGAGGTATCTTACTTCATTCCATCGATTCATATAATCAGCATAGCAGTGCTGACAATACAGAAACTCGAGCAGCCTAATACACGATAACATAAATAGAAATGCATAAACACTACAAGAAATGCTGTATAAAGAATTGAAGTTTAGACTTTCCAGCAGCCAATCAACAACAAATCTTTTGGTGTTAGTTTCCTAAGTAATAAGTAACGTCAACAACTGCAAATGTCAGAGATGAAACCTCATATATTTTTGTGCCACTCAGCTAATTATTAATGGTTTACAGATCTTAGGGCCAAGTTGATATACTTGCAGACCGTTTATCTGCAACTTTACCGGATACACCCTACTGCAAGTGGAGAGGTTAGCAGAATCTAACAGGTCTTAAACATAGTCCATAAATTATTAGTTTACTACATTATGCAGTTAGTAGTTAAGAGAGTCACAAAGCATTACTTCAGACCTTAATTTTGTACTAGTATTATCACCAAATATACGCAACAATATCAATAGTTCACATAGAGATGGGCAGCGTGTTGGGCTAGCTGAACTGGTGACCGGCCAACGAAGTAATGGAGCTACACAAGTTCAAGTGAGCCACTATATTTATATATAATAATAAACTGAGGCTAACTGGGTCGGGCTTATTTGGTCCACTGAACCCAGTAGCCAAATGGGCAATGTCCAACCTGGACCACAGACCACCTCTAAGTTTCAATTAAAAATCCAAGTACTTCGTATACAACTTTCAAGCTGCCTTGCTTCCACATCAAAGCTCTTATAGGAATTAGTCTCGTGAATAGACAAAACAATTAAATGGTACAGAGCTTCCGATGTCATAACTAGTGGGATATCTACAATTCTACATACCTTCCAATTCGCTGATTTCAAACTAAGCTATAAAGATATTCTCAGCTTTCAGCTAATCCAACTTAATTGAAATCAACAAGACAATAAGATCATCAACAATAATAAGGCTGGATACTAATATCAACTCTAGAAACAAACACTGAAATGTGACTAGCCCTTCATTAGTGAAAGTGATTGAACAAATAAGAGAAATAAAGGACAATGAGCAGAAAATGAAAGAACAGAAGATTGTAACACAGGGTTTTACAGATCCAAAGATGAAATAAAATGACTGCAAGTCCATAACCGTACCACATTCAGAGACTTTAAATTCTGTTCTTATGGGTTAAGAAAGGCAAAGAAATTTTGTAGGCTTCATTACACAAGAAAAAATGAAAGAACAGAAGATTATAACACAGGGTTTTACAGATCCAAAGATGAAATAAAATGACTGCAAAGTCCGTAACCGGACCACATTCAGAGACTTAAAATTCTGTTCTTATGGGTTAAAGAAAGGCATAGAAATTTTGTAGGCTTCATTACACAAGAAAAGCCTCAGTCTCTTCTTCGCATGATTTCAATGTCTGCTCTGATCAACAGACAATAGAGGCTGATTCAACTAATAAGAACAAGTATCAAGTAAAAGGGAACTCAGGACTAAGGAATTCCAAAAAGGTGGCAGAAAAAGAGGGCAAAGATAAGGGTAAAACAGTCCTTTATATAACAGTAAGTAACTAATTATAGCTTTGGATGTAATAAATATGAAGCCCAATCAATGGATGTAATAAATATACAGCCCAATCAATTACAATTTTCCATTACAAACCATCCTTCCTTCACATCTCTACTGCATTGTAAAGGTTTTATTTAGCATACCACAACTGTGATCTTAGGCTGCACAGTAGCAAGTTAACTGCAATACTCGTGAAAAAGGTTTTGCAAACATTATTGTGATCATGATCGTATCTGGGACTATATCCCTTAAAACAATTGGATTTCCCTAAATTAAACCATCAAACTTCAGTCACTATAATATATGGCCCACCAATTCCACTTCCACTAAAACCAGGTAAAGAAAAAGTAAATCAACTAACCCATTCGAACTACGGTTATAGATTTAAGATATATTTAACATGCTAAGAAACCTTCACCTGTTAAGTAAAGCTTCTGTACAGCAATCAGGCAAATGATGCAATCATGAGATTAACATGCAGCCAAATGAAGAAAATTGTTGACCTTAGCATCCCAATAGTTCTAGTTCTAAGCTTTTGTCACCTAATTTCTTATTTGACAAAAGCTAACATAGCAAATTTAGCCAGCAGGAAGAGACCAGTATTTGAAATAAACTCAAAGTCAAGATCCAAAAGGCAGTGTCAAACATCACAATTCCAAGACACACACCAAGATGTCATGAGTCAAACCAATGTAAGAGCAGCCTAATTAAGTCTCAAGCTAGCTATCATTACCTAACGCAACCATCTTCTAACAGCTCGTCAAGATGAGGAGTAGCATCTGACTTAGATTTAGCATAATTGCCCTTGTTCATGTCATCACACCAATAATGTATTGATCTCAAAATATATCAATTTTGTCAACATTCAATAAGCAAAAAATTTAAAAAGGAGAATATGAGCAACAAATTGCATATTATGAACAATATTTATGTTAATGGAACATTCTATACCGCCTAAATCTAAGTAAATTCAATGCCATTACCATACATTTGATCTTCCGAGGATGCCAGAAAGGCACTCTACATTTCGACAAAAGACTTGACAGTTTCTAACCATCTCAGGAGTTCGGTTCTATCCTTGTTGACCATGTAATGATGCAAGAAAACAGAAAGTTCACCATCCACTCCTCTTGCTTCCAAGTATTGATGAAGTGCCTTACGGAGTTTAGGGTCCAGTTTTCTGAAGTAATAAAACAATAATTGTGTCAATTACAGAGAAAATAGCTGCAGCCAAGCTAAAACAGTAGCTAACACAGGCCTTTAGGCAATGCAGAAGTCCTAAGTCACATTGCAATAAGATTCCTGGGACACGTCACGTATACCAGCATATGATACAATCCAAAATTTTGAGCAATCAAGAGCACGGGAAAAAAAGCAACATTTTTAAAGCCTCAAACTGGAATTCGGAGTAGAGTGCAATGAATATTGAGAAGATAAAAGCACTAATCTCTAGCAAGATATGCAATAGATTTCAAAAAACACACCCCAATCTTAAGAATACATAGATTAATTACATATACTTATTTTCCACTGATCTCTGATGTTCAGTATACAATAATGAAAATTATTAATCTTTGGCAGACTATGGTGGAGTTACTGCTATTCCACATTTCCACTATGAAAATAATGAAAACAGGAAAATCTCATAGAAAATGCTCATAATCATTGTAACCATCATAATTACAAAATCAAACACCATCATGCTAAGCACATGAAGCTATTATGGCAAAGGAAGCAGTACCTTATATTAGGACCCATGTGAGCTTTAGGTAGCAATTTGTTGCCATGAAGCATGTAGACTTTCATGATCTCCAAGCCATCTGGCCATGCAGAGCACACAAATCCCAATCCATCAGATCCCTCTCCCTTATATATGTCAACCAGCAAGCTTATGTGAAGACGAGTATCTTCGCCATCGGTATCATCCCCAGTTTTTGGGTCGGATACACAACCATCAAACATTGTAGCCTCAATATTGATATCTTCTTTTTCGCCAAATTTGCGTCGGAGCCTAACATATTGCTCACCTGGGCGGTCTTCAACGGAGAAGAAACTGAAACTTGCAGGAGGCTGCATATTCAGATAAAATAAGTTTAGATAGATAGCAACAGCCATTCTTACAACTGCAACAATGGGAACGATGTGATTGTACTGTCGTGCTGTCCTAGGAAAATGAACAGGTTTTTAGAATATTTTTAGGACTAATTTTGCCCAAGGTTTCTAATGGTTGAATGAAATGCCAGCAGATACACTGGCCCATGGTTCATTTTTCACTATCCACTATCAACCCAAATATATGTCGAAAATAACCTGATAAAAATTCATCAATATTAATCTCCTATTTTGTCCATGTCAAATTTTCTATTCCCAATGTGTTGCCAGATCAATTTCACTTTGGTCAAAATGTGCCAACGATTATAAACCACAACATGCAACATATGACAATCATACCTTAAAGATCTATATGTGTGATCATAATGCATGCTATCATATTGACAAGATCATCCATCTTCATTTCAGAAAATCTGATACAAATGGGGGAAGGGTAATAAAACATAGAGCATTGATACCAAAAAAGAAGTCAGCTACATGAATGTAGTCAAATGCATGAATCCTTGTTCATTCCTTTCTACTAACCATCAGGTGTTTTAGGAGACCCAAAGCCTTTGTCCTTTTTAACAACTCAACATATGTCATCTCTGGCTTCGCTCAGTTACCTTTTAGGCCAACAAATTCCAATTTTCTAATCCCCATACCAAGCATCCACCCCTCAACAAAAACAAACATGGCCAGACCAACATAATTGACTTTCATTTCTTTTTTAATGTAAATTTCAGCATTGTGGACTCTATGTTCCTTGCGTTACCACACATCCAATCAACACATCTCCAGTCACCCTCTTTATTTAACCAGTCCTGATCACCCAACATTCTGATTTGTTAAAAATTGAAATAGGTTGGCCTAAGCAGTTCTATGATCCTTTACTTCAGGAGACACATTAGTCACCAAAAATTCTCCCATTGCTCCTCTCGATGCATCCAGCCGGCACAAATCATATGAGTGACATCTTGATCAACATCTCTTAGCTTTTTTACAATAGGCCTTGGATACTAGAAGCACTAACTTAGAGTTAATTCTCCAATCCAACTTTGCTGTACTATGATCTTTTTCTTTGTTGATACTAAACTTACACTCCAAAAATTTTAATCAATTAGTCATAAGTCCTTAGCATGAAACCTCAAGATTTTAACTCTTCTCTTTAAAGCTCCAACTTAGCATTGAATCTTGCTTTAGTTGCAAAAAAGAGCACATGTAAAAACCACAACTCATGCTAACAGTTATATCCGCCTTTATACCAATCCTACTGGAGCAGTCTAATTCCAGTAACCAGACCTCCAACTTAGAGCTCATTTCTGCTTTGCAATCAAGAGCTCATACAAACAGCTCTCACACTAACAGTCACATCCATCATTCCATCCCCGCGCATTACTATTAAAAGCCCTATGCTCCATCCAACCAACGTTTAACATGTCCAATTCCATGGAAACTAAAGGAGGTACCATCAACGTGTCTGACAGAAAAAAGATCCTATAATCAGTAACATCATCTGTAATTCACCTGTGCAGCACTACCTTTACTTCAGAAGGTCTCGGATAAAGGGCATGAAACAAATAATGCAATTCACTCTACATAAGCAGATACGCTACTACATTCCCCTAAATTGCTATGACCACTTAAACAAATCATGGTTGACACCTAAACTTCTTCCTATTCATCAACATGATTGCATAAACTAAACTTGTATCATGTGAAAGAATTACATCAATGTACACCTCACCAATAAGGTTTTTACGCTACTATATTAACAAGTGACATGTTTCCACACCTCAATAACAACATTTAATCTAAGATTCATCATAGAGTTTCACTCATCTCGCAGCTTCAACACCACATTCATGAATTTCTACTGCATATATCCATAAACTCAATTTCTTTGATCTTAAGACCCAATATCACTCGATTTTGCTTATGTATAACTATCTTCTACTTCCTATCACTCTTCTTGAACCGATATTAGGTTCTTGAAAATCAGTGTTCCTCCCATCCCATAGTTATCAGACCTATTTGATCAGCTACATTTTCAATAAAACATGAAAATCATACAAAACTAAAGAAGAATGTCTTGCAATAAATTTCCGGAATCATCAATTTGCAACAAAGAACAAACCCAATCTCTATTACTCCCCTAAATCACATAAAATTATGATATATATACTTTCCCAAGTCACACCATCAAAATCATTCATTAACTATGTAAAATTGCCATACCAATTGAAATAAAACCATCTAATGCAATCTCATTTAATTAATAAATCAACATAGCAAAGTTTTACCAATTGCAGAAATAAAAGTTATAATATGAGCATAATACCTCTTGAGGAGGAGCATATTGAGTCTGATATTCGAGTTCAGTGCGAAGTATTCGAATAATGTTGGAATCAAACGGTGATAGGAACTTCGTCGTTTCAGAAGAGTGACTACGAATTTGTGTGGGAGAATGGAGGAAGTGTCGAAGTGGTTGGAGAAGAGGTAAACATAGACGGTTGCCGGAGAAAGGGAATGAAGAAGGAAGACATTTTCGGGATATTCTGAAGAGGGGAGCCATGGAAGTAGGAATCTGTAGCAATATTGGGAGGTTGAAGGAGGGTTTTTGAATTTCTGGGTTTTACTCTGATTTTTGGGATACTCGAGTCCATACTCAAATAGTCATAGGCCCAATTACTAATTAGGCAATTAGCCATCGGAGTGGGTTTAGAGTAACAAAAGAGTGGAGTAGCGCAACAACCAAATGAATCCACACATCTTACATGTCAATTCATCACAAATTTACATATCATACTTGAAAGTAAGATAAAAGGATAAGGGGACTTTTACCACCAAGATGATGCCTCTAGTAGAATTAGATTACACGGCCTTCAAGTCATGAAACCAAACCCACATAAGGAAATTATGATTGTCTTTATAGGCAGGAAGCCAAATGAGCAATTTATGCTTTTCGTAGGTCATGGTAATTTTGAACGACCACTGGGATAAATTATGCTTTGTGGATGGTAACTAAGGACTTGGAAATGAAATCTTGTTTATACCATAAGCCTAAATGTAAGAATGGCTTATGGCCCAACCAAAATTCTTCATAATTGACATGGTTTAGTATATGCATGGATCACGCCCCAATACTACTTTAGATAAAACCAATGGTTCATGTCATGTCGAGGCATCTATTGTGGATCATCTCAAAACGACATACAATCTAACTCGACAATTAGATCAATATGTTACGTATCATCAACCACCCACACAAATGCCCATAAAAAGACCAAGAAATTAAAACCTAGGAACACATAATATTAGACCAACAAACAAAGATAATTAATTTGGAATAGAGACTTAAGAGTCCTAGACTAGAATAGTTCACAACCTCAAATTAAGCAAATCCTGTACCATACACATTATTATGTCCACGTCTCAAGGTACACAACCTTTCACGGACACCATATAAGCATCGTTGCCTAACAATCTAATCTTTACTCCTATAAACTTCAGATATTTATTAACAGTATTCAGATATTCCATATGCATTGTACCTCTACCCTATGTAATTAATGTGACATTTAGTAACCAATAAGGAACAAAATTAAACCATAAATAAATCAGAATTATACGCTACTCCGTATTGTATAATATTATCGTGTAGAAATAGAATTGGTGGAAGAGTAAAGCAATACCAAAGATTGAGCGTTAAGTTATGGAGAAAGTGAGAACACAATTTAATTCTCACTAAAATTTTGCGTTCCATTCATTCTTCTCTTTTTCCTTAACCATTAATAATTAAATAAAACTCCTCTACAAATATTATCTTTCACTCTCAGTTTGCAACTTGTTTTTAGCTATAAAAACAATCGGAATATATCATCCGAGCCAACGTGGACGGTATCGATGTTATCAACCAAATAAGTTTTTTTTTTTTTTTTTTTTTTTTAAAACATCAACCAAATAAGTTTGAAACGAGCGTGAATCAGAGTTGTTTTTTTCGAGCTAAGGAAAGGAAATCATTCAGTTTCCTTTCTCTTTCTGTAAATTACGAATTTTAAAAGCCCAGAAAGGAATTTATTTTTAATTTTCTTGGCCCATATTAAAAAAACCAATTTTTAATTTTTCTTGGGAATACCAATTAGACTTTATTCTGGATTAGAATTATTTTATTATATAAGTATAAAAATTATCCAGTAGGAGAGAGAAAATACAGGAGAGTTTAGGAGAGAGAAAAAAAGGGGAGTGAGGCAAAATGTTGTGTAGAATGATACCAAAGAAGAAGAAGACAGGTGCGGTACCAGTTTACTTGAATGTGTACGATCTTACCCCCATTAATGGCTACGCTTACTGGCTTGGTCTTGGTGTCTATCATTCTGGTGTTCAAGGTAATCTTTTCTCTCTCCTAAATTCTTCATTTTTAAATTTTTTAATCAGATTCAGATCTGTTTTTAGCGGTTGTTGTAAAAATATAATGTGGGTTTGTTTGGATTTATGTTAATTTATAATGGGTATTTTTTAAATTTAGTTTTTGGTTTGTTATCTTATTTGTAATTGGTTGCTGAAAATTGGTTCTTTTTTGCTTGAATTTTGGTGGGGTTTTCTGGGATATTGACGTTTTTGATTCTGGAATTTTTAGTAGATCTGGTGATTCAAATTTCTGGGAATTTATGTAATTACACACTAAAATTAGCTGAAAATTGAAGGAAATATAATATTTTAGGTAAATTTATTTTCCCAGGTGCAATTTTCATTTGTTGTTGTTTTCATAATTTGCTTTTCACAGAAAAATGTCTTGATGACAATGATACTGCTGCATGATATACTGGAATTTGGTGCTATAATTCTGGGATTAGGATAGTGTACTTTTGTGTGGATCCATGGTGTAGACCCCTCTAATTATCTGAAGTGTGTAAGTTATGTCATTTAGTGTTTATCTCTTTGTGAAATTGATATTATAAGGATTGTGCATTTTATATTGGATTAGGATTAAAGATTGTGTGCTAGACTTTTGATTCATGGAGCATTGTTGTCGGAAATATCACCGGCGCTGGCTTATTTTCTTTTCACCTTCCCTGGAAATTAAAGTTCAGTTAAGGTATAGATACTAAATACACTATACAGCTATAATTAAGCTCGGATAAGTGGAATTCAGGTGGATAGATAGATGCCTACGTCGTAAAATGATTCCAAACCTAGGGTGTTCCATGTTGAACTCCATAACATGTATTCGTTGCTTTGTTTGTATAATTCAGAGCGTGTTTAGAACTTGCTTATAAGTTTTCAGTAATATTAAGATAGTAATGGTGATGGCTAGTTGAATCTGTTACTCTTGTTTTCTGTTGTAAATGTTGGGTTTTGAAACTGAATTATGCTCAATTTTTCAGTTCATGGCGTTGAATATGCTTTTGGAGCTCATGATCATGCCACGACTGGGGTATTTGAAGTGGAACCGAAGCAATGCCCTGGCTTCACATTCCGAAAATCAATCTTGATAGGAAGAACAGATTTAGGTGCTAAAGAAGTTCGCGCATTGATGGAGAAACTATCCAAAGAGTACTTTGGCAATACATACCATCTTATTAGCAAAAACTGTAACCACTTTTGCAATGATCTGTGTATACGTTTAACCGGAAAGCCAATTCCAAGTTGGGTCAATCGACTAGCTCGACTGGGTAAGATATATGCTCTGTATTTTTTATTCATCTTTGTGGTTCAGTGCTTTGAGTATATTTTATATGTTTTCCTGCTCATGCTCTTGTTAATTCCATGATTTGGTGATGAATTTCTGTGCTTAGGCCCACTGCGAGGTGCTTCTTCTATTGTGTATTAATGTTGTGTGGGTCATGCTTCAACTAAATGTATTTTAGTGCCCCTCAAATAAATAATTAAACCTAAGTGTGTTGTAGTGGTGTGACTATAATGACCTCACAGTTTATTATAAATCTCTTTTCATTTTAAAGTTTTAGCATGTTTCTAGTAATTACTACAAAATCTGGTAGACTATAAAATTTTATTTTCCCACTGTCTGATAGTGACAAATGTATGAGGGAGGCAGATTTAGACCATATACTAGCTGTTAAAATTGAAATGCCGTGGTTCCCTTGCGATTTGCTGTGACCAACAATGTTGACATCTGGTGTGAGGAAGATGGACTTGTGTTAAAGGTGTAATTTTGTCATATAAAGTTCTTAATTGTAATACAAGTATTAAGAGTCAATGCATGCTAGTGGGTAAAGATTTAGCTATTAGATAGGAAATTTCATGTTTCAGCTGTATATTGTAAGGAGATCCCGTGTCTTTCTACCACACATCATAATTGATTTGGTAAAATCTGAGGGGGTGGTGGTTCAAGAATTAGGTTTTACTTAGTGGTGTCTGTTAATGTCCCTTACTAGCCAAAGTTCTTTTTTTGTTAGGGGGGTGCACCATTTATTTTACTCTTTGTGTTACATGGACTTGCACACATGTATATCTGCAAAAGTGTCTGACCCAGCTATTTTATTTAAAAATTAATTGAAGTGTCAAATATTAATACCCATGTTAGAGTGTCGAGGGATTCTGAAATTAAAAATCAGAGTTACATAGGTTAAACAAGCTGTGAAGTGTTTCTTACATAGGCAAATTTCATTACTTGCTTCAATCTTAATATTGTTTTTCATGGAAATCTTGTGTATTCAAAACTAAAGAATACACCCAAGTCCAATCAATTTCTTTTTGCTAAATCATCTTTCTTCCTATCAATTTCAAGGTCTACTGTGCAAATGTGTTCTCCCAGCAGCCTTGGATGAAGCTAAGGTTCGCCATATTAGGGCTGAAAGCAAGGCACGTAGTGATGTAGATAAGAAAAAATTAAGAAGCCAATCAAGTAGGTTTGAGCCTTCAAATTCTACATCAGCAGCATTGTCTGATTGTTCTACAGCTTCTGCTAGCAGAAGTAGGAGGCAGAGACGCTGTGTTCCTCCATCTTCGTCTTTGATTTGTGCTTACCCTCAGCAGGAAGCTGTTTCATAGAAAGCATCTATTTTTTAGGTTTGCAATGTAAATTTGTGGTGCAGACATTAATGGTAGAAGGTGCATGTTTCAATTTATTTTAAATTTTCGCTGATAGTTTCTGTTACCAGCTGCTGGTGAAAGCAATGCAGCAGTCTCTCAAGTGTATCAAGTTCCTTATTTTGCCATGTAATTCCTGTTCATGATATCGCTCTTTTATCTCCCAAATTATCCCCCAGCCCCCTTAATCCCTTATCCCTCCAAAAAAAAAATGTCCGGCTAATTGCTCAACAATTCAGTATAAATGATATCTATCCATTTCGCACAATTGAGAAATTTCGCCTATTATTAGTTGTCTAACAAGTAACGGAATAAGTAGTTGCACTTTTTACGAAAAAGGCCCTGATACTCTTTAAGTAATCTTATCTAAATTCATACTTTGTGAGGGTTAGTTGTTTTCATGAGCTGTATTTTGTTCATAGTTTTCGCATTTGGCTAGCTGATTGCTGATATATTTTGTTCCAAGTTTTCGCATTTGGCTAACTATCTATTTCATGGAAAGCAATAGTGTCATATTGATTTATTTGCGTCTAACAAGCAACTTGTTCATACCAACCGAGTTATTGTGTTAGCAATTGACACATTAGGGTGTAATTGACCAAGTCAATTAGAAGCAGCAATTTTTTCAAGTGTTGCTTTTTCCACTTTAATAAATCGAAGAGCCAGATATGCTACGGAAATACGGAATAATCAACTTAATAATTTACTTATTATTTTTAATTGAAGGGCCAATTGATCAAATTGGTAAAAAAAAATATACCCTAAGCGACAAATTGGTAAAAAAAATTGCAAAAAAAAAAAAAATAATCTCAGGCGACAATTAAGCCTAAAAATACAAAATTTCCAACAAACTACTTGCGATTGCTATTGTTTTCGTGGTTTTTTTTTTAATAAAAATAAATAAATAAATATTAAACCACTTCACAATTCTCATTAAACCTTGCCATATAAAGAGAATATTATCACAAAGATCAGAGTCTTCGAAAGAATTATAAAGTCCAGAAGATTAATAACATACCTCTAATTTTGCATAATAACTACCATGATAACTAAGGAGCTGTTTGGTTTGCGCGGGGGATATGGAATGGAATGAACAAAGGGAATGTAAGATAATGGAATGAAACCCTTTAAATGTAAAGGAAATCACCACCACCACCACACAATCCCCTCTTTCTTCACATTTCCACTTTTCCAGCCACCACGCAGCCACCCCACCGCCCAGCCACCACCTCGACGGAACTCGTCGGCCCTCAGCGCACCTCCATCACCCCTCGCCGCCCCTCTCCTCCCCGGAAAACCTTCCACCACCCACGCAAAACCCTAGAAAACACTCTCTCTCCCCTTAAAATTGTCGGCCGACCCTCCCCCCACCCTCAAAACCCTAGCAGAGTGTTTTCTAGGGTTTTGCGTGGGTGGTGGAAGGTTTTCCGGGGAGGAGATATTTTCGAGGGGAGAGGTGGGGGAGGAGCGACGGGTTCCAGCGAGAAGTTAGGGAGGTGTAGCGAGTTTCGGTGAAGTGGCAAGGTGAGTTCCGGTGAGTAGAATGAGGGTGGCTTGGTGGGTATGGTGGCTAAGGAAAGGGAATGGAAAAGTCTAGGGGGTGGGGAATCAATGTAGACTAAAAATGGGTAAAGGGAATGAAAAAAGTGACAAACAAACAACAATAAAGGAAATGATAGCAATTCATTCTCATTCCCTTTAATTATTTACCCCAACCAAACCACCCATAAGATAATTCGTAATTGATCAACTTAATAATTTATACTTGAACATATATATATATATAGTACTCCGTATTTACAGAATATAAATATTACCTCGTGAAACAAAATATATTTGTAGGAGACTATTTGTGTTAGACTATTAGGTAACAAGCTAACAACAACTATTGAGCTTTTGACCATAGTGTGAATTATACCTTGTCTTAGAAGATTGCTTTCGTGTTAGGAATGAAGTTTGATTAATATTACACATGAAAACTGACAAAATAAATCATGCAACTTTTTCATGATTACTTCTTCTACATTTTGTTTCCTACTTTTTTTTATTTGTATTCCCTCTTGTTTTTTGCTTTTGTCTGTCGAAAGAGATTCGAGTGACCCGTAAATTTCATACTATAAAAAAGTTTAAAGAAATCTTGAAATTCTTTTAATTTGTAGTATGTTCTAACCTACCTCGTTTCTTTATTTTATTTTGTACGAGTAAAATAAAGATCATATATAGTTTAAAATAATGAGTAGTAGTTGATGAATAAAGGCAATAATAAGGTCAAGAAATTGAATGGCATCTTCTTCTTTTTTTTCTTGCTTTAATGCTTTATAAGTGTACTTCAATTGTTTCTACATATTCTTTTTTAAACATTTTCTTGTTTATAATGCTCATCAGCTCCTCAATGAATTAGCTAGGTGGTCAAATTCTCTTCTAGTATTGAAATGAATAATACGAAATATACGTTTATTATAATGTTAATATCATTTATATAAATATAGGGGCCGTTTGGTTAGAACAATGGAAAAAAGAGTGGAAAACAGGAAAAGAACCGTGTAACTATTAGTCGTACCTTTTCATTTAATTGGTTTAGCTATGGAAAGAAATCCCTTTGTGTTTGAGAAAAGTAAAGGTATTTGTTACCTTAGGTTTTAGAGTGGTAACAAATGGGTGGAATTTGTCCCTTATTCTTTGGTAAAGGTAATTGTTACCAAATCTCTTAACCAAACATTTAATAATGGTAATGGTTTAACCGAATTCGTTTTCAACCCAAAAAATACACTAACCAAACATGCTCTATAATGTAAAAAGATAGGTTAAATTAGCTAAGCCTTTTTAGTTCAACTTATAATGACTTATATCAAACAAATTAAATTTTAATAATTTCCAACATAATAAAGTTTGTTACAATAATGAATATTAATAATAAATTGAATATGAATTCTTCTAAAGTGAAGTTCAAATGAGATACTATTATACACAATGGAGAGTATTATACGAAGTAACACTGTTTTGATAAGTTAAGTTCAAATAAAAATCATACATTAATGCTCTCTTTATTTCATGATACAACATTCTGGAGAGTAAAGTTTGACCTATAATTACTCTTTAAAACGGTGATATATTCCTTCAATGATACGGACGGTGATATATTTCTTAAATGATACGGAGTAAAAAATAAAAATTATGAATATACAATTATTATCAGAAGGATCTTATGGAATAATTAATTTTTTATTTTTGCTTAGGAACTAATGACTAAAGAGGATTCTAAAGGAATTAAGCGACATTTTTGTATCTTCTCGATCTCTCTCTCAGTCTTTCTCTTTCTTATTTGATTACTTGCTTAATCTTGAGTCTCTTAACTTAACAGTTTTGATGTTGGAGTGTTACTTTCATAATTGGCGGGTGATTATGGTGTGGATGTAATTAATTAGGGCTAGCATTTCTTTGATGGTTGTTGGGTTAATCTTTAGGTTTTCTTGCTCATGTGATGCTTTTGAGAGTAAATAATGTTACATGCATTCATGTTGGTATCATAAAAGTTATCTTGAAGTACAAATCTTGTTTCTATTGCCTGATGGTATGATGTAGCCCTTTAAACCTGAATGTTTTTTTGAATATAGGTCTTGATTGGGATTTGTCTAGTTAGGCTTAACTGCTTAAGCCTTCGGTATTGTTGTGTTTCAACCCCTGCGATTTGGGTTAAATTATATGTTTGGTTTCCTTCGTCGGAAGGCTGAAGAGAAGGAAGAAAATTAACTATAGACTATATATGGCCTTGAGAAATCGTTGCTATCCTCATAAATGAACATGTTAACCTTATTTGTTTGTAAATTATTACATGCACTTGAGAGCACTAAGAATAGTGCTTTTGTTAGTGAGTGAAGCCGACAAATGTCATGTTACACTAGCAAATAGTAACTTAGTAAGCACATACCATCTCATATGAGCGTGTGGTATATGTGGGAGCACCATTTCCGATGCAGCAATACTCTCGAGTGCACCAAAGAATTTGTTGATCCTCGACGTAGAGCTTTCAGTAAAGTTGTACTTGTAATCGTATGTGTAACTGTGGGCTTTGCTGCTTGGGTAAAGAGAGGAATTTTCTTTTGTTATGGGCTTTTCCTATCATACTTTCATTGCCCATTCAGAAGCCTGCACCTAGTAGTAAACTAGAGTAAGCCACTATCATTGAAAAGCTGGACTAATCCGCTAGACTATTATTTCATTTGTACTCATAAAATACGTGATGAGTTCAATTAAATTGTGTTTTCTGAATTCTCACTACTACGTACTAAATTATTATAAGTGAGCTCAGTTCACATAGAAAAATCAATTGTTCATCAAATTTTTTTTCCAGGGAGAAGTAAATGCACCAAAGTTAGGGCGGGGAATGAAGACATTAATTGTCCATCATGAATTTCGATGTTCAATGAGAAGACATTTTTGTAATTTACGGTAGTAGTAGTTTCATTCTACAGAGTACGTATTAGTTATACAATTAACGACCATTTACAACAATAAAGAATTGAAAGAAATTTATATAAATTAGATTATATGATTTGGCATTATTATGTGTGGGGTTTTTATTTTTGTAAGAATTATTATGTGTGGTTTTTTCAACTATAATTCTATTAATAAAGAGGTAAAATGTCAATTTTTAGCCAGATTTGAGTCCATATACAGATATTTCTCCTAATGTTTTTTTTTTTTTTTTTTTTTTTTTTTTTTTTTTTTTTTTTTGTGTGAAAACATTTTCCCTAATATATAACAAAAATAAAAGTCACGTTCACGAGGCTCCCACGATGAGTGACAGGAGTAACTATAGCCCACTACCAAGTATGGGCTCATAGTTGTCCATACCACAATATAAATTTTTTTTTTTTACCTTTTTTTATTTTTTTTCCTTTCCACTTCATCTTCTTCCTCCCTTAAACCCTTTCCCCACCTCCATGGATAGCTCCCATTGCCCACCAAACCTCTGCCCACCACACCTCCACCTCCGACAGCAAGGAACCCACCCCACCAGTCACCACCTTGGTCGAAACCCAGAATTACGCAATCACCTCCGTTAGAAATCACCAGAAACCATCCAAAAAACATAACCCCAAAACAGAAGAGTGAGCAATGCTATGGAGTACTTCCGGCTTATTTT